TGCAGACGGCGGTACGTCTCGTGCTGCCTGCGGACCTGGCGAAGCACGCAATGGCTGAGGGCACCAAGGCTGTGTCGCACGCTTCCAGCTAGACATTACCGTATGTTTTTGCGGATGGAGGTTTCCATTGCTCATAGATTTTTTTCTTTCTTTACGGGTTTTTATGTTGGGATTGTATTTGTTATGTGGTTATTCTTTATTTTGCTTCCCTTTGTTTGGAATTTCATTGGATGCATTGTCTTTTTTTTTTTGTGGTTTTAATTTCTTTTTTTTTTTTTTTTTTTTTTTTTTTTTGTTTTTAAGGTGTTTTGTTCTTGGTTTCTGTGTTTGTATTTAAGGTGTTAGGTCTGGTTTTTTTTCCTGTGTTTTTACGATGGGAGAGAAACAATATAGAGATGATGGAATTACTCGTTTGCTCCACGATGCAGGGGATTCTTTGTATCCTTCCTTTTTGTGGCTTCGTAATATTGTAACCATAGTTGTATGCAGTCTGACGGGTTTCTTGTTTTTTTTTCTTTATGTTTTGTTTGTTCCGCGTGGAGGCAGTGAGAGGAAGATTGTGCCGTTTTCGCCGATGTATTTTTTGTGTTGTTTTATAGGTGGTGTTGTCAGCGGTCTTCCTCATACTCTTATGACGCCAATTGATCTTGTTAAGTGTCGTATGCAGGTGGGAGAATATGAGTATATGTCGGAAGGTTTTCGTCTCATTTATCAAGACGCTTCTGGTTCTATTCTTGGCAGTATACCGTTATTCTATCGTGGTTGGGTACCAACGTTTATTGGTTATTCACTTCAAGGTGGGTTTAAGTTTTTTTTTTATGAACTTTTTAAGTATTTAATGCTTGAACATCATGATACAGTAGCTGCTGGGTCTTCTTCTGGTGATAACTGGGGTTACCTTTTCAAGTTGATGACTTATTTGTGCGCAAGTTTTTTTGCTGAAATGCTTGCAGATATTGCTCTTGCACCATGGGAGGCTGTAAAGATAAAGATACAGACTACGAGTGTGCACCGAACACAGGTTTCGGTGATTGTATCTATGGTATGGGCAGCGGAGGGATGTCGTGGTTTCTACAAGGGTCTAACAGCATTATGGTGTAGACAGGTACCATACACAATGGTTAAATTCATTAGTTTTGAAAGCATCTCACAACAGTTATATGTATTGTTTGTGAGTACTCCACGGAGTGCAACACCGAAAAGTGTACAACTTCTTATTTCTTTGCTCGCTGGTGTCTTGGCTGGAGTGCTTTGTGCTATTGTTTCACATCCTGCTGATACCATTGTATCAAAACTAAATCAGCGTGGCGATACGACCGGTAGTGCGTCTAAGAACACTTTTTTTTATATTATGCGTGATATTGGGTGGTATGGGCTGTGGAAGGGTATTGGCCCTCGTATTTTGATGGTGGGAGCTCTCACAGCGATGCAATGGATGCTCTATGATACTTTTAAAGTACTTGTAGGGCTTCCAACCACAGGAGGTACAACTGTGACTACAAATAGGACAATGCAGTCTACTCTGCAAAAATGAGGAATTAACGGAGATAATCACGTCCTCCCTTTTTTTTTTTTTTCTTGCTTTCATACGTCTTGTCGTTGCATTTGTTATTTTTCTCTTCCTTTTCGTGGTTCTTCCCGAAGGGGTAAAATGCGTGAAGGAGAAAACCTGGTGCCACAACCGTTATCATGGTTTGCATGGCATACCTCCGTACACACGGAATATCTAGATTTTTATTTAGTTCTTCTTGGTGTGTGCGCATGTGTGTTTTTTTTTTTTTTTTAATTTTGAATTTACTATTTTATTTTATTTCATTTTCTTCTTTCTTCTGTAGTAAAGGAACTGTAAAAAAGAGGTTTTTTGTTGCAATATAGCTGCTATTAAGGGATATGGTATGATTGACATTACCTCTGTTCCTACACGTGTTTTGACGAGTCCCTTTTCTCTCTTGGCAGTTGACACTGCTTTCTCCAATGACACATGTGAGGAGAAACTCTTTCTGTTTTTTGTTGGAAATGATAGGGCGTGTGTTGCCTCTTTCCAAGAGGGGGGAAAACCGTTTATCTGCAGGTTTCTTCCACAATTTCATCGTACGTTAACAACTGGGGTATGTTGTGCGATGTCTTCCAATGATGGAGGTGTGTTCGTTCTGGGTGACTCTAACTCTACTGTCACATTACATTACATTAATCAATTAACGCATAGTACAACTTCTACGGATAGTTGTAGTAGTACTATTTTTGTAGGGAACGCTTGGGACGTAACTACACGTATTAATCATATTGTACCTGTTCGCGGTAGCAGTGTAGTAGATGCTGTCTGTACCCGTAGTGGTGAATTAGGAACAGTGTGGAAGATGAAATTTGATCGTGAGGAAGCAAATATCCTTAGAGTTGACAGTTCACTGGTCCGACTATTTTCACAGAATAATAATAATAATAATAATAATAATAATAATAATAATCATAGTAATATGTCAGATTGTTTTATGGGTGCTACTTCAGGAGGAGTCTCATTAATCTCTCCAGAGACGGGAAGTACACTTTTTGAGTTTAGACTCCCATATGGAAAACAATCTGGAGAAGTGGTGCAGGCAAGTAGAAGTGGGGATTCGTTATTAGCGGTGGTAACGTCGTCTGGTGTTGCTCATGTATATGATCAGCGTCGTACAGAAAAACCTATTTGGTCAAAGTCACTGCGTGAGTCAACAATTAATTTTAAGAGCAATGATGGCAGTATAAGTAGCAGCAACTACGACGATTATATTCATACGTCTATTATTACTAATTGTAGTACAGGTGTATGGGCCATTTATTCCAATAAAGCTCTGTATTTCTTACGCTGCATTGATGAGTCAGTTGTATGTCGTTCTTTCCCTTCCCCAGAATGTCTCCTGTCACCTAATATAAACGTTAATGGACTATGCTTCACGAATAATATTCTTCACATTGTTGGAAGCAAAAGGGACGATTGAAAGAAGTGAGGTAATATGGACTGTGAAATTTTATTTCGAAAGAGGAGGGGGAAAAAATAAAAATAAGAAGGGCCGCGAAAAAGAAAATAAAGAAGAATGTGAAAGATACCCAGAGCACAGAAAAAAATCAGAAAAAAAAAAAAATAATAATAATAATAGTAATGATAATGGAGTCATATTCTCCCTGCAAATTAACCCCTCTCTCCCCCCCCCCCCAAAAAAAAAAAAAAAAAAAAAAATGATTATTGTATAAGCTGAAATCTATTTATACTATATACTCTTTCCCTTTTTTTTGTTGTTCTTCATTATGTTGCGTAACAAAAACAAAAAAAAAAAATAGTGGGTTATACCATATATATATCTGTAATATATATTCTAGAGGGACGTGAAGTAATGCTGCGACGTCTTTTTGCGTCAAAGATGACGTTGGTGCGTCAAACGAGGGTGAATTATACACCTGATAAGGTTTCCCCACAACTTTCTGCCGTAATCAGTGGCATTATTGCAAAAGACCGTGTTGTTGTATTCCTTACTGGTACCCCAGAGGAACCACGGTGCCGCTTTACGATGCAAATGGTGGATATGATGAACCAAATTGGTATTAAATACAGTTTTTTCAACATTCTTGATGATGATGATGTTTGCGAAGGACTCAAGACTTATAGCGATTGGCCTACGTATCCACAACTCTACATTGATGGTGAACTTCTTGGAGGGTATGATGTATGTAAGAATATGATGTTAAATGGTGAGTTAACTAAACTTCTTAAGGAGAAGGGACTTCTTTGAGTAATAAATGTGTGTGTGTGTTGTTGTTGTTGTTGTTTGTTTGTTTGTTGTTTTTTGCCAGGGGGTAACGTTTAACAGGAAACAATGGCAAATATGATTAATTTTACCCATACTGATAATTTTTTTTTTTTGTTCTTCTGTATGGGATTCATTTTTTTTTTTTTTGGTTATGATTCTATTTCTTTTTTTTTTTTACTGTGTTGCACTCATTATTATTATTATTATTATTATTTTCTCCTTGAAATGGGTGTGTGTGTGGGGTGTTTGTTTGCTTATGGCGCTTACACCATGTTACTTTTCTGTCCCTGTGAAAATTAAAAAGGATGGGGACTTGTAAAGGATATGTCTATTAGTGGTGTTCCACAGGAAGCAGCGAAGGTGTTATGGCAGGTACACTGTACTTCTTTAGCTCCATTATCATATGAAGAAGAGGCTGTGGGTGAAATGTGGCGTTTGTTTGCAGGATTTCTCGCTCCATTACCGTTACAGTCTGTTTCAACACCGTCTAATCAAGCTATTTCATCGGCAATAACAACATTTATGTTTAGAGTAAACCTCCATAGTGAGTTATTAACTGCAACAATGAGAGATGCTATTGTTCATCAACCACAAATAGTTCTTCCAATGTTGGAATTTTTTAGAGCTGTATTAAGCTTTCAGCAGCAGGATGGAGGACAACCTTTAGGAAGAGTTGGCTCTTGGCGCCTTGTATGCTCTGTTTTTGGCGATGATACATGTACGACACCTTTTGATGCTTTGGGGGCATCTTTACTTGGTCAACTTGTGACTATACGAGGTACAGTTGTACGAATGAGTCCATCACGTGTGGTGTGTGTACGTATGGTCTACCGCTGCAGTGCTTGTGGGGCTGTAGTAGAAATTCCAACAGAGGATGGCGTGTTGGTGTATCCTGGTGCATGTCGTGGTAGATGTCGCGGTTACCGCTGGTCTCCACTGGTAGAACAGGGAGAATGTGAAGAGGTTCAGATACTTAGGGTACAGGAACAGATAGAAGTTTATGATGGATCTGCTATCGGTGGGAGTATTCACAAAATGATGGCGGTAGAGTTGAGAGGTGTATGGATTGATGCAGTGACTGTTGGTGAAGCTGTTGCGGTATGTGGTATTTTGTGTGCTAGACGTGGTGAAGGAAGAGGTGATGCTACTCAGCAAATTGCAGTACGAGCGTACTCTGTAGAGAGTAACCGACATGATTCTGTACAAGGTGCTTTACTTTCAATGGACTCATTGGAGGAAAGTGGAAAATTTTATGAAATGGCTCGTCATCCGAAGTGGTTTACACGCCTTTGTGCTTCGCTGGCACCTTCTATATTTGGTTTACAACATGTGAAAGAGGCCATTCTGTTAGCAGTAGTAGGAGGAACAGCACTTAAGATGCGTGGTCGAAGTAATATTCATCTTCTTATGGTAGGAGATCCAGGATTAGGGAAATCACAACTTTTGCGTGCCGCATGTAGTATTGCTCCCCGTAGCGCATTTGTCTGTGCTCATACATCTTCTTCTTGTGGTCTGACTCTCACACTTACAAGAGATCCAACATCAGGTGAAACATCTTTTGAAGCTGGAGCTGTTGTACACGGTGATGGTGGAATAACCTGTATTGATGAAATTGATAAAGGAGTTACTGAACATCGTGCACTTCTTGAAGTGATGGAACAAGAAACTGTTTCCATGGCGAAGGCAGGAATGGTGTTTTCTGTTCCAGTTCGTACAGCCATTTTAGCCGCAGGAAATCCTGTAGGAGGTCGATTTGATGATACAAAAGCAATATCAGCAAATTTAAATCTTTCCCCTGCACTTCTTAGTCGTTTTGATATCGTTGTATGTCTGCGTAACCCACATGCTGAATCCACCCGTTCTCTCTCTGATCATGTGTTACAACTTCATCAACGACAGAATGCCTCGGATACACATAACACCTCAAGTGCGGGTGGTGGAGCACTTCCAGTAGAACTGGTACAACGTTTTGTTTCTTTTTGCCGTCACCATTGTCACCCATTACTACGTGGGGAGGCGAGTGAAGTACTGAAAGCACATTATTTAGAAAGGCGTGCAGAATCACAAAGTGATGGATTGGCTGTAACTCCTAGATTTTTACAAGCCCTTATTCGTGTAGCAGAAGCACGGGCTAAAGTTGAATTACGTCACGAAGTGACAGCTGATGACGCACACTATGCAGTGGAGTTGCTTAGACAGTGTGCCGGTAGTCTACGTACGAACAATGTTCAAACAACCCCACTTAGACCTGCTGCGGCGAAGAAGGTAAGTCAGAGGGATACTATAATAAACACACTTAAAGCGGAAGTATGCCGTACTGGTGTAAATGCCTTATCACACCGTATTATCCTTGAGGCATGTGAACAAGCTGGATGTCGTAATGCCAGCGCAATGATGAATCAATTGAATGAAGTGGGAGTGATTCTTCAAATAGGGGACAAGTATCAACTTCGTGGGGTGTAGAACGTTGCTTTTCTTAAAAA